TTAAAGTATTTAAATGTGCCTCATCATCTGCCCCTGTTATTCGCACATCATCCATGAAGACCTTACACCCTTCCATTCTGTGGAATAATTCGTCTACGTAATGTTGCTAGATTGCCGGCGCTGCATTTAGCCCGAACAGTAATCTCTTACACTTATATAATCCTTTCTGTGTGTTTATTGTTAACAATTTTTGAATCTCCGGGTGTACTTTAATTTGTAATTAAGCATGTTTAAAATCAATTTTTGAAAAATGCATTTCTCTGCTCAAACATGAAGATATTTCCTCTATTGTTGGCAAAGTATGTTGCTGCGTAACAATATTTGGGTTTACTGTCACTGAGTAGTCAGCACAAAGTCATATAGAGCCGTCCGGCTTAATTACTGGTACTACCGGAGTTGCCCATTCCAAAGTTTCAACCTTTTCGATTATACCCTCTTTTTTCAAGTGATCAATTTCTTCATCTATTGAGCCCTTTAATGCAAATGGTTCTTGTCTAGCTCTACAAAATTTTGTCGTAACATTTGGCTTCAATTCAAGTTGAACCTCATTTTTTTATCTTTCCTAATTTTCCGTCAAAAATCTCTTTATATTGTTCCAATAATTTATTTAAACTAGTCTTTTGCGAGACAGAAATTGACTTTATTGAGAACCAATCTAAATTTACTTCTGAAAGCCATTCTCGTCCAAATATTGTATCAAGGTTTTCTTTAACAATGTAAAGATTTAAGTTTTTATTTTGACTTTTATATTCTACCTTAACTGTAGTAAATCCTGAAGGTATAAGTTTTTCTCCATTTTATGTTTTAAATACCAGAATTTTTTTTAACTCATTACCGATACTGTATCCCCTGTATCCAGTTCCATAGCTACCAGTTTTCCTTCTATGTTCATTTGGACCATAATGGGCGGTTTCCTATTTTTCACCTTACTGGAATAACCTGTGTTTTCATTTCCTACATCTAATTGTTTTTGTTTCGCATTCATTCATTCATTTATTTTTTTTAATTATTATTATTATTATTATTATTATTATTATTATTATTATTATTTTTTTTTTTAAGCATCGTAGCATGCCCTTTCAATGTGCCCGATTTTTCTTACAAAATCTGCAGATACTTGTCTTAAATTTACAAGAATTTCTATCATGGTCAGTCTTTGTACAGCGTGAATACATTTTGTCTTTAGCACTCTTAGCTGTGAAGTTTTGTTTTTCAAACTTTTGTTTTGGAGCGACTGAGATTTACTTTTATTTCTGGCACTAAATTCTTTAATTTCTACTGGTTTCCCAATTATTTCATTTGCACCTTTTAGTGCTTTTTCCATTCATTGCCAAAGCTATTTTTAAAGTGTCATCTAAACTGATATTATTCTACTCAAAAAATCTATCCAGAATAGCTCTATCTCTAAGACCACTAAAAAATATATCCCACAACATATTCTGATCTTAAACACACGGTATGGCAAGTGACCTTAACTCTGCCATATACACACTGATTGTTTCCCCCTCGTGCTGCTTTCGATTTATGTTTCCCCCTCGTGCTGCTTTCGATTTAAAAATACCTATCTGCTAGGAATTACAAGTCGCTTAGGATTTAAATGATTTCTCAATGTTGTTTTAACACTTCATAATCTTTATCGGAATGATTATCGGAAGCCAGCAAGTTTTTTAAGAGACTATACATTTTTTCGAACATACTAGAAATCAGTACTTTCCAACGCTTGTCTTGTGAAACATTTTGTATATCTAAATAATGTTTAAATCTCTCCAAAAAGGAATCGAACTGTTCTTCGGGTTCATTATATTTTTCAAACTGAACCGAAAGTTTCGAATTATCCATTTGTGGAATAACTGAAGTAAGTCTCTCCATTAGAGCTCTATTCTGCATTATTAATCAGTTACAAGCTGCTCCATGATGTGTCTTCCGAAGAAAAAATGATTATAAAAGCTTTACCTTGAGCAGTCATTGAGGAATCCCTAATCCTTATTTCGATTGCATTATGCACTTTAGTGTTACCTTAAATTCAACATACATCGTCGCCAGATACTATGTATCCGTTAGTGGGTAATTATTTCACAAGACACAGTCTTTTACTCTACATACTGCTTTATTATATATATAAAATATATCATCACTCGCATACACACTTATATGTACAGCTATTCGCATTCCAGTCATTTTCTTATTCCTGCGTGTGGTTCAATGCTTGTCGCTGTGCTAGCTTTTAGTCCGATTATGATATACCACATCGATAGTTCTTAATATACCACAATACTTTTATAATGTAAAAAATCACGTCATACACGTGCAAACAACATAACCTAAAAATATTAGCTACTTTATATCAGCATCATATATTTATTTATACGAAAATGTCAAGTTTTGAGCCGAATGAGCGCCATTTGTGGAACATTTGATTTACTTCTTTAATTTGAAGAAATCTGCAGCTGAGGTACATCGATTGCTTGTAGAAGCATATGATGCTGCCTTAAGTGAGACAGGGTTCGTAGCGGTCCTTATAAGTGCTTATAAGTCCTTATATTTGAAAATAAAATATAAAGGCCCTTATAGGTGCTTACTTTTTCTTTAAAGCCCTTATTTTTTTGTTTTTAGTGCTTTTTTTTTTTAATGAACGCGCTATTTTCCCCCGTACCAAAGCCGAAACTAAATAAACAACTTTTCTTCCTAATATGGAATGTCAGATGGTGAGTCATACTCCCGGAAATAGCTTTTCCCCTTTCTCTGCATTAACATAACCTTTGGTGTGCATGAAGAGTACAGACAGGTGCCCGTCCTTCTATTGGTCAAAGAATTGCGAAAGCAGTGAAAATTTTACTACATTCGGCATTCTTTTCCTCCCACCCAAATACTATACATGTTTGAATTTCTATCAAGATCTTAAAAATTTGCATTCTCGTTCCACTTGGTCAGTTCATATTCGTGTTTATTATGATCGTTATGCTTCTATTATGAGCATATATATGAATGTTTATAATAACATAGTTGCAGTAACTGCTGAAGTATAGTAAACTTACAAAAATGGTTCTGTTTTAACACAGATTAGCTTTCTAAGGAATAATATTTGGAATGGCTTAAATAAAGGGAAAGTAATCAAATAGTCAAAATAATTTAATTTTTTTTGGCCAATATATTATACAGTACGAAGGTTGGGAGGTCTCGCCTTTCTCCGCAAAATCTTGAATATTGAAACTGTTACAGTTTGCTGCAAAACAAGCAACGGACCTCCCCCCCCTTTTTTTTGTCACTTTGGATTGAATAGGACTAAAAGTTCTGCGGTCTACCAACCCAAGCGAAGAATGATTCTATTCCGGAAATTTAACGCCATCTTTTGAAAATTAGAATGAAAAACACCCCAGTTATTTAGTTCTTTATTCTCCCAATACCGGCAGTTGTTGATTCCGATTGCGTAATATCGTGTAGGGAAGAATTACGGCGCACGTATTGCACAATAATGTTTGCGATATTTTGCAGAGATAATTAATTTTGATGTTCAGTCTGAGATTTGTTTATAAACACTTGAAAGAGTTTTACTGTGCTTGCTAAGCAGAATATTTTCTACTTTCGTTGGTTTATTTTTATGTGATGCACATATTGAAATGTCAAAAGCATTTATTTAGCAGAAAAATCTAAAGAACGGCTACAGTTTACCCCCCCATCTGCTTCTTCAAGTTATGCTCGACTGTCCGAATATTCGCCAATTTCAAAGTGTGCGGGTTAGTTAACCTTTTACTGTCAAAGATGACTGCATGAAGCAAATTTCTGTCTTCTGATTTCAGAAATGTTCCTCTTTTTTACTTAAATTATTTTGCTTGCAGTATCTGTTAAAAGAAAACTGATATACAATGAAAATTTAGAAAATGTTCAGAATTTAGATTTAAATTATTTAAATATCAATATGAGTGGAAAAATAATTTGTATTTATTATTAGGTTCAAAGCGAATACAATAAATATACCTTATTATTATTTATTTTCTCTATTTTGAACTGAAATTTCATCATTAAATTTTGTAATATAGTTTAGTTCTTCATAGTTTTTTTATTCTCTCATTGTAAACAAGTTCTGTAAATTGAACTATTATTTAAAACAAAAAAAAAAAAAAAAAAAAAGGTAATTATGTTTTATGGTTGAGGTAATGCTTGTTGTCTCTTAATAAATACTTCATTTCTCCTATTTTAAATTACAAGTCTAATTTTTAAGGTTATGCAGTTGTGTATGATGTAATTAGACAGGTGCTTATTTTTTTTTCTTAAAATGTGCTTGAAAAGTGCTTATAGGTGCTTATTTTTTTAACTAAAATGTGGCTATGAACCCTGTGAGAGAAGTTGCGGTGAGCGGTTTAAAAAGTTTGAGAATGGTGAATTTGACGTCAAAGACAAAGAGCGGAGCAGAAGTGCATGAAGACGCGGAATCGAAAGCATTATTGGATGAACATTCATGCCAAACACAAGTAGAACTTGTACTTATATTAGGAGTGACTCAACAAGCAATTTCATAGCGTTTAAAATCATTGGGAAGATTCAAAAGCAAGGAAATTGGGTTCCATATGAACCGAAGCCAAGAAACAATGAATGCCGATTTTTTACGCGTGAAATGCTGCTTCCCAGGCATAAATGAAAGTTTTTTTTTTGCATTATATAGTCACCGGTGATAAAAAATGGATCCACTACGATAACCCTAAGAAGAAGAAATCATGCAGACCACCTGGCCATGCTTGAATATCAACAGCCAAGATGAATATTTATGAGAAAAAAATCATGCTGTGTAATGGTGAGATCAACTTGATGTCATGTATAATGAGTTGCTCAAACTGAAACTTATCCCTGATACTATTAACATTGAAAAGTTGAAAAAGGTATAACCATACTTACTGCTACTTGTGCATCTTTATAGATAGCAGAAAAGAATTCATTCTGTAGCTAATAATTTTAAAACTTGATATTATTTATTTCTTTCTCCTGATTTTATAATTTTCACCTAGTATTTGAAGATATACCAGCTGCTGACCTTGTACCTGGAGATGTTATAGTTATACCAGAGCATGGTTGCCTGATGGCATGTGATGCTGTATTAATTGCTGGTAATTGCATTGTCAATGAAAGCATGTTGACAGGTAAGTAGACATGCTAATTTTTGTTTCATAATTCTTTACTTAAAGTGCAATGCAGTATTATGTCATACATATTTATATATGTGCAAACTTTAGGTCATTGTGAAGTTAAATGTACTCATTTTTCCATCGTTATAGGAATAAGCTTTTTCATTGTTGCAGTATGTGTCAGTTGTTCATGGTGTCATAATAATTTGCAATATGTAGAATTAATTTTTATTAAAATTTATTCTGAGAATAATTGAAATTTACAATAAATTTTTTGCCTTAGAAATGCTAATGTTCATGAGATTTATTATCACGAAGCTGATTAGAAATATTTTAATGATATTCCCTTTGCATTTGGCTGGAAAATTTTACTAGTATGATACTAAGGGTGAGAATTACAGTTAAAATTTTATTTAAGAGAGCTATGGAATTTTAACATTAATTCAGTTAAACATAAAAAATAAGTTCAAAAGAATGGTAAAACATATTTGGGTATTTCCATATTATGCCATCAACTGTGAAACTAGCCAAGCAGCACGATTTAGTGCCATTTATGGATGAACGGTATGTCACAGCACATTCATAACATCTGCACTTTTATTTGATGTAAACTCTATGAATTCTCATAAACCATCATATGTTTTTATGAACAAGGATGTAAATTAACTGTTATTGCTGTGTTTTGAAAGAAAGGATGAAGGAAAGATCTGGGATCTTCCTTCTACAGAGTAGCAAACAGTAGCTTATTTTCAAAGTTATATGATCCTACCATGAAAAAAGGTGTGTATTAATGGATGCAGTATTGGTTGGCTGAATATGGACAGCGCAGTACTGCTTTCATGTTTTTTTCCCCCCCTTAACTTTAAGAACATTTTTTTTCGCAGAAAACTTTTGTTACAGCCAGATATTACACATGGCCTGTATGTTAAATGGGTAAAAACGGCCTTGTTATCTAACTATATAGGTTCTAAGTTTCAAGAATATTTTATTCCAGAAGGCTTCCCTAATTCTTTATAGATAATGAGAAAATATGAAATAAATAAAATTTAAAGTAGTTTGCATATCAAACAGCATATATGCAAATTCAAAATGCAGGCTTAGAAATATTTTAGAAGTTTTGGCAGGAGTCACTTTAAAGTGACTCTAAATGCATTTCTAACTGTTGTCCCACGTGTGTAAATATTGGTTTATTTTATTAACTATTGCTTTGATTTTGTGATTTTGCTTAAAAATGTCTTTGATGAATGTGTTAAATTATTTTGAAAAAATTAATATATGTAAATGTGTGTGTCAGTGTTCTCATGGGAAACAATGTATCATGTAATCTCATGCAACAAACCGTATAAAAATTATTAAAATAATACCAGCACCATTTTATTATTTGCAAGTATTTTAGAAAATATGCATTATTATCTATATTTAGTATGATGTTTGACATGAATGCTTATCAGAAAATGTAATAATATCCTTTATGTAAGTGAACGCTTAAACCCGTTTCAAGGCTGAAGTTTTACAGATACTTTCTGTCCATTCATTAGATATAATCAAATATTTCTTTAGGTGAAAGTATACCTGAAACAAAAACACCTCTAACAAAACATGATGATGAAATTTATACCCCTCTTGTTCACAAACGACATACCCTTTTTTGTGGAACTCAAGTTATCCAGACAAGGTATTATCAGAATAACAAAGTTTTAGCTGTTGTTGTGAGAACTGGTAAGTTTTGTTCCGATACCTTATTTTTTTGTGATATTAAATTTGATGCACTTATCTGTAATTTAAGTTATATCAGTCTAATGAATGCCCCAAGTGAAATGGACATTTTTATCACATTTCTGTGAAGTCTGATAATAAGTTCAAATTGCGCAAATTAGCGAGAATTTTTTGCATGTATAGATAGTAATAAACATAGAGTCCAAGTAAAATAACTTAGCACTGAAGACAGTAGCTGTAACATTCTTTGAAATGGATAATGCAGTAATATTAGCATAACTATTGTTGTACTCCCTTAAATCCAAGTTCTTTAACTCTTCTTTTCAGAAATTATGCAGCGTGATTCTTTTTCCACCTTTGATTTTCAGTTTACATCTTTGATTTTCAAGTGAACGTCTACTTAAAGACAAAAATAAGAGTGTGCTGCGTAAAACAATTAATACTGTTTTCTTCTTGTGTCATGTTTCTCTTCCCCCCCCTGGAATGAGGATGAAATTTAATTGTCCAGTGTTCCTTCTATTCTTTAGAACAAGAGAGGGAATTATGGTTTCACATTTGGATTTTTTAATATTTTCTGTCTGTAGAACTGAAATTATTCCTTACCCCTCATAAGCTAGTAATGCCTACATTAAGTGCATTTTCACATTTGAAGTGCTCAGAAGCCATCCGAGTCTCTTTTATTTCTTTGTATGAAGTAAAGGAAGTACTGTAGTCATTAAAAATTCCATGTATCATATTTAAAAAAAAAAAAAAAAATGACTATTGAATGCAATTTAACAATGTTTTTGTCTGACATCTGTATGTATGGACAGAATAAAGGACTCTTTTTCCCCAAACAAATTATAAAACTGATTAAGAATGGATTTAGAATAGATATGCATCTAAAATAATGTGAAAACAAGTAACCTCAGAACGTTGAAATTTTGTATATGGGACTGCCATAACGTAGTTGTGCACCTCCCTTGCACCAAAAGTAAATATGTATATATAAACCCACTCTGTTGCTTAGCTCAGTGAGGTCAGTTTTTTTAATTCTTATATGTTGGTAAATTGTAGATTTTTGCTTTAAAAAGGATTAAGTTATGTTGTTCTTAGCTTCCAGTTAAGATTTTTATGCCTTTAGTTAACCTACATGCAATAGATATACAGAGTTGCCAACTCTCCCGATTTAGGCGGGAGACTCCCGATTTTTGACCGCTCTCCCGCCAACCTGATTTACAATATATTTCTCCCGACTTTTTCTTATTCTTAGTATTTCTCGCAATTTTTATAGAACCTGGCTTAATGTTAATGGATCAAAAAAAAAAAAAAGAAAAAAAAAGTGATTTTGGACGTCTGAAGCAACTGATTTTCTCTAGATTATCTAAAATAAAACGGCGAATAATATGAATTTTTTGCTTGCGAGTGACAGCATACGGTATCGAGAACCGTCTTCTCCAGTTCTCCGGGCATCGAGCTCCCCTGCGTGTCATCTGGCATATATTAGCCAATGACACAAAACTCAATACTGTTGCCGTTATTTGGAGTTCTTTCGTTATCGTTCATCTTCTCCTGATTGTGTGAGTAGACAGCCATTGGGAAATAGTTTTTTAGAAATTATCTTTGTTATGTCGCGAGAAAGGTGAAATACTCGTGCACGTTTCAAAATCGTACACATTTACTTTTTCTTTCCATATTTCCTCAAGGAGATGTAAATTTGCGATGTGTACCATCTGTCGTGCGATTTTTCGATTAGCATGGTGGAAGGGCAGATGTTCTCAAACATGTGCTGTACAAAAGCACAAGAACAACATGATTGTTTAAAAAAAAAAAAAAAAAAACGAAAAATTAAATTTTCTCGGAAAACAAAAAACCAAAAAGAGATTAATGCAGAATGTCTGTTCTCTGCCTTTTTACTGGAGCACAACATGCCACTGAATCATCGGACACGCTGCAGCTTTATTTAGAAAAATGTTTCCCCATAGTGAAATCGCTAAGAAATACTCAAGTCAAGGACCAAAACAGTGCAATTGTTTAAAATGGGTTGAAAAATAAACTTCATTATTGATGCATTAAAACATTCGTTCTGCCCTCTACGGATGGAAGCAATAATACCATCAAAACTATATCCAATTGTTTGTTTCTTTTTTAATCCAGAGTTCAGAAATTGAGTGCAGTTTACTTCTGTCCCCACTTTAGAAAGACCTTCACAGGCTTTAATACAGCACAACTAATTATAAACTTTAAAAGAAAATGCAGTCCCTCTGGATAATTGCTTAGCACTTGTGCCGATATGCACCAGTAATGGTAGGCTTGAAGACTGGTGTTGCAGGCATCTTAAGAAAGGCAAATTCAATTTGCAATTATAAGGTGCACCTGTCACCTCTTAAATTTAGCAGCTGAAAAGGAGCGCTTCGTTACCAATAAATGTGGATGAACACATTGTGATATTTATTATTATCTCGAGTTCTAAAAGAAAGGAAAATTGAAAACAGTTCAAACAGCTGCATAATATTGAAATGAAAAAATTTTGAAACGTGTGTACACCTGGCTGGCTTTAAAGAAATGCTTATCTAGAACCTCGATCATGAACCCACTTCTTGCATTTTTAAAGAAGAAGCAAATGCTTCGAGAGTTAAGATAAAGGCTCTATTGAAAGTTATAAAGTACCTAAGTAAGGAGATGTAGTTACTACTTCCTTGTTAAAAATAGGTTTGAGAAAAAATTTCTGCATCATTCAGCATTCAACCTTGCGTTCTCAAAATATGCTGCAATATAGCCATAAAGCGGATACAATTTATCTCAAATAAAAAAAAATTGCTCAACACACGAAACATTTCCGATTACTGTAAGTTTATCTTGGAAGAACGAATATTTATGATTTTCTTCGGACCTTAACAAAGCTTTTCTTTTTTTTTTTTTTTTACAATTCATTTTGCCATCATTCTGTGTTCTTAACACAATTCTACAAGCAGAATTCCATTAATTCATGTTTTGCAATCAATGATTTATGATCGTTTAAAGACATTTTATCAAAGTTTGTAAAACCAGTCTGTGTTTTGTCTTGTAATTCTATATATGATGTGATTTATGGTGAATAGAAAATAAGAAGAAAGATGAAGATTGGTAATAGGAGCTGCAACTACAAAAGTGTGGAAGAAGACAAAAATAGTTTTCTTCATGTTAGAAGTTTACTTCTGTCAAGTATGTGATTACATACTACATAATTTCCAGTCAACGATGAGTGATTTTCCATGCTAAAGTTTTTGTGAGTTTCTGCTGTAGCAAAGCATCTTTTTCTGATATAAAATATTTTGAACAGATTTCCTGTGTTACTTCGTTTAGTTCATGAAAGATGATGATATTGATGTTGATACTGATATACTGCACTCGCAATTTTGAAGTTTACATTAGAAAACTGGATGAAGTTATAAATCAGCTAGCATTGACACCCAGTGGAGTTTAATTGGAAACGAAGGTGCTGGTGGAATTTTGAAATATAGTGAACTGTCTAGAATTATGTTGGCCATCTGACAGTTCCCCATAGTAATGCGGAGTGTGAGAGGATTTTCAGTGTTGTTGCGAAAACGAGGACTAAATTTAGATCTAATTTTAGTGATGGCACATTAGAAAAACCTTTATTTTCCTAAGTGGCAATTGTAAAACAAATTATGAGTTTCTTTCTTAACGAAAGCAAAATCTGCCACTGTTCATAACATTTGTATGAAAACTGATTAAAGTGTCTTTTTTTTTTTTTTTCCCTTAACGTAAGTAATAAAAACGCAAGTAATAAAAATGTTTTCATTTAAGACTTAGTAACTATTTGAAGTTAATTCATTATTAAAAACTATATTTTTATCATTTAAAAGTCTTTTTAACATTGTGAAAAATCTCCTGATTTTTGAGTGTCATAGGTTGGCAAGTATGGATATAGAATTATCAACAATTTAAAAGCTGTCCCATTGCTGATAAGCCTAGTTTTTTTTACCATAACAGCCATATTTGTGTACATTTGAAACTTGGCAGAATAGTGAAGTAAGTCAGTTTTTATACCTTCAGTGTCTTTTTGCCAGGTGGAACCAAAAGGAAACTTTTAGTTTTGTCCATTGAAAAGTCTGCCTTCATGACCGCTGATGGTTTTTAGGTTATCCCAAAGCAGCAAGCCAGAAGGGGCATTATTATTATTATTATTATTATTTGTCATGTTGTGTCAGTTCACTTTTGAAATTGTTGAAAATAAAATGATCATATGATCTTTTATTCTTTATTCTTTTTCTTGGATTATCTGATTAATTATACTTGGATTATATCTCAGTCTAATATGTTTATGTAGGAGATGTGTTGTGAATAAAAATAAGAAAAACTTGGACAACATGGTCTTCATGCGAGAATCACATTTATTTTTTAGTGTGATTTTTTTTTCCCCCTGTTGAATTGAATTTTATGTTTTAAATGGGAAGAACATGATATTTAATAAATAAAGGAAAATAATAAATAAAAGTAATAAATAAAGGTAACACACAAAACAATAAAAAAAGCCCCTTTGGATGTAATATAAAATCTGAAAACTTTCACCTTCTCTTTTTATATTTTTCTACGTTTTTCAAATTTTAATAAAGATGTTTTGAGGGTTTATGTATTTTTGCTTTGTCCTGAAGTGAGAACTGAATTAATTGAATGAGAAATACATCTGTAATGAAATTCAAGGAAATAAGTTTAAATGAAATGCAGCAAAAAATACGTGTAATTTAATATTCGTGCAAGTAAGTCATGTGGTGTACACATTGAAACTTTTTTTTTTACATTAGTAGATGATGACTTTTTGCTAATACAGGGTTCGTACGGTCCTTAAAAGTCCTTAGGTTTTTTGGAATCGATTTTTGGTCCTTAATTTTGGCCAAAATAAAACATTTTTAATTTTTGCTGTCATATTTAAAGTTTCATTTTGGCAACTTAATATACAATATTTTGGATTTGAAAAATGAGCTAGGTATAAAGCACTGTTTACGAAACAGCTTTTGGCA